AAATTCCTATCTCCTGAGACAAAAAGCAAGCCCCAGGAGAAATAAGACCCCAGGGCATAAAAACTCCTGGGAAGCTTCCTGGTTTCTTTAAAATAAAAAAGCAAATCTCAGATAAGATTTCCAGGGCGTAAGGACTCATGGACAATTTTTAACCTTGTTTACACAGGTGTTGCTTAATACACAATTGTACAACTTTCTCTTAATTTACTCCTTTTTAAAACAAGCACTAACTACTCTCTGCTAGCCTTAAATTAGCCACTAGTTTTTCTTTAGACAATCACTGATAACACTGCTAACACAATTTATTACTTCCCTAAGACCCCTGATAACCTTTTGCTAACGAGCTGATCCCTTCCTAGACCCCTCTTCCCCGAGTTACAGCTGAACATCTGTACACATGACAATTATCACAAAAATGTATAATTTAGTATACCATAAAGTGTTATTTAAAAAAATTCCTTGTTCCCCTTGTCCTTGAAAACGTTTATGACAATTTATGGCCATCTCTCATTAACTTACCTTATGCATTATTACAATTAACTACTTGTTACACAGTATAAACAAAGACCTGCTGAGGGAATGAGCAGGAAGACTTGCACCCAGCTCTGACTCCCGTGTCTTCCTTGCCTCCCTCCCCTCTCCCCTTTTGGAATCTCCCCTAGCGGACACCTTCCCACCTTAGGGCCCTGCCTGTCTCGCCTCCGGACACCTCAATAGTTGAGGCTGGTCCCCAACACTCAACTTTATTTTAAATATATCTCTTGATTTGAGACAAGCTAGAACTGACATTTTATTGTATTTTTCTTTAGTTTATGCATTTATAAATGAGTAACACTGACTAGTAGACCTAGGCAGACTACAGCAGCATTTATCCCTATTCTTATGTTGAAAAATTTATTCATGAACTTGAATATGGACTAGAAGGAATTTTAACTCTTTCAACTTCTGTAAAATACTCAAAACCGTGAGTGAGAAATAACTTGTTATAATCTATCAGCTAAAGATTCCTCTAAAGCAAACCATGCTCAGAAAAGCAGATATGAAAATGGAGGACATGTAAAGTGACCCCGTGAAAACTCCATAAACCACATTTTTTGAATCATTGCTGAACCTTAGGTCTTGGCCCCTGAACAAACTAGTCAAGTTAGAAGACCTATACAGAAAAAGTCATGTCCAGTCTAAGCAAGGAGTTCAATCTTAATGTACAAAAACAAAAGTCACTGCAGGAATTAAGTTGTGACAAATTGCAGTTTCCACTTTCCAAAGAAGATTCTAGCTACAATGTGGAAGAAAAACAGAAGAGGAAGTGACGGTAGGGTAGGCCAACCAGCAGGCCAAGCAGAGTTAAGCATTTTTTGTATTTTCACACTGCTCTGTATAGCATGGGAAGTGGTAGGAAATAGTAGTGCTGAAGGGAACTGTCACTGAATATAGGAAGCAGACAGACAAGAATTAAGGATTCAATCCTTTACTAAAATGGGGAGAGCAGAAGGGTGTATATCTATGGGACAGGAAATATTAAATTATTTCTTACATTAAATTTAAGATGCCTGCAATAATGCAAGATGAGACACAACTGAAAACACGCAGAAATTCAAGTCTAAAGCTCAGGAAGAGTCAGAGCTTAAGACGTGGATTTGGTAGTTGCCAGAATCAGCTGGATGTGAAAGCTACAGAACTGAAGAGGTCACCTACAAAAAGAACTGATGAGGTCTGAGACAATCCAAACTGTAGGCAAAGGATAACCCAAGGAGAGACTAACAGAGCAATCAGAAAGCAGAGGGAGCTAACAGGTTAGTGAGTGATGTCACAGAAATCTAAAGAAATCTTTCGAAAGGGAGGATGTGGTCTGTGTTCATGTTTCTGAACAGTCAAGAAAGATGACTTAGTAAATGACCACTGACTCTGGCAAGCTTTATCTCATTAAGGCCTGACTCAGAAGAGAGCTGAGGATATGAGGCTCTGATGGATTTGTTTTTTATTCTTGAGAGAGAGAACATCAAAGAATGATGAAGGAAAAGAAGAGAAAGGGTGTCCGTATCAACAATGGCCTGGCACAAGCGCAGGACAGGGCTGGAGCACAGGTAGAGGGCTGGCACTAGACAGATGCAAGGACAGTTCATTCACCTCAACAAGAGGGAAGGCAGAGCACAAGGGAACAGAAATTTCAAATAAAAATTATAAAATTTTCTTGTAAAATACTCAAAACCATGAGTGATAAATAACAAACAACTGCTTTCAAAGATGTCAAGTTCTAGAACTCTAAAAGAGATCCTTAAGTACATAAAATCTGAAGTCATTCATTATAAAAAGGATGAACTGATGAGTTCCGCGCTTTCCTCAACAAGAGAGACCACCACTCATCATCCCCATGAGCTGCAGGAAAACTAACCTGAATATTTATCATGCTAAACTATTCCAAAAGCAGTAAATCTAGAGTTAACCTTCTATAGGCCAACTACATGTCATTGGAGACTAAAATACAGCAGAGAAAGTGGCATACATGACAAGCTCAGTCCCTTCTCTGAGATAACAGATCAAGTTTTGTTTTGTGGGGGAGAGATTGTTTTCAGTTACCAGTAACCAAACCGCAGATACAACTCACTGGTACTATCACTGCCCAGCTTGCCGGGTATTCTTATACATATTCCTGGATCCTTTTTTCATAGCACATGGCTAGCATAGAAGAAATATTTGGTAGCCGAATGAAGTTATAAATAGGAGCATGAGGAGCAAATAGTTAAGTGTCTAACAAGGGAATTGGAGAATGTCAAAGTTACTTCTAAGTGTAATATTTGAGCTTGGTTTCAAAGACTTTAAAGGATCCCCCGCTCTAGGAGGAAGACACGGATATGGGGACACCAATCCAGAGAATAGCATGAACAAAGACTTGGAGGCTCGGAGACTCGTGCTCAGTTCAGGATTCATGGAACACTGGTAGATAGCAGGTAGTAAAGTCCTCCAGTAAGCCCAGTCTTTCAATTGTTCTACCAACATTTAGTGAGGGCTACTACATTCTAAGTAGTATTCGTACTATGCTAGGTGTTAACAATCTTGAAATTAAAAAGACACCTTTTGTCTTTATTAAGTTTGATGTCTCACCCACTGGTTCCTTTAAGACACAGGCTTCTCATTACGTAATGGATCCCTCAGCATATTCAGCACTATATAACAGTATAGAAAAGAAAATGTACTGCTTGTTGACTGAAATTTTAAAAGAGATGATTTGACATGAGTAACAGTAGAAATAAACATAGTAGTATACCTCTTTACAACTGGAGAAAAACACAATACTTTTCTTCTTCAGGTGGCTTCTCAAAAAGGAATATAGCACACTTATTTTTTGCTGCAGCTCACAAACTATGTAGTTCTGTTCCAGAGTGGCAGGGGTGCTTATGGGGAAAGAAAGGGAAAATATTAAAAACAGACATATTGGGTAACCTTGAATGTCAAATCAAAAAATAAGGAAAAACAAATTTTAACAATGCATGCCACTCAAATTTCTCACATATACATTTACACCCGTCTTCCCCAGAAGAGATTTTCTCAATTGGCCCTTAGGAAATGAACTCAACACATGATTAAAATACATTCAAAATCCCTTTTACATTACATGTCAATAATACACATACAAATAAATAGTGGTCACCTCTGAAAGGGTAGAGTCCAGATCAAGTGAAGGCAAAATGATCTGGCTGGGTTGTTGGTGAAGCACACTAACAGGGATGTGTATTTCAGAGATATGCACACTCATCAAAACTCAGCAAAAGTACTCATTTTGTTCATTCTTTGTATGAAAATATTAAGCCAGGAAAGTGAAATCAGTATACCAATGAATTCTAGTAGTATGTATACTGAAGCACCTAGAGAAATTGTGTACAGATACCAGTAGTTCACTTTGAAATGCAACAAAAATGAGTTATGTACAGCTATAGGGGTGGATAAATGAATAGTTAATGCTACCAAGTGGCAGGTATAAGGTTTTCAATGTGAAATTCTTTCAATTGTGTGTTGTATTTGGAATGTCTCATACGATGCTAGACAGCTGTACCAAACATTTACTCTTTGAATTAATAAACCTACTTCTAGGATTCTATCGTGAAAACAAAGAGTTATTACTCTAGTTTGAATCCTGAGTCAAAAAATGTTTTTAAAGACACTTTTAAACACACGCAAACAAAATGTAACAAGATAAAACCACTTTTAACATTGAAGGGATTAAAAAAGATGGTACTTGGCCCTCCTTGGTGGAGCAACAGGTTAGGACGCAGCACTGCAAATGGCCGCAACCACTTCAGTTTGATCCCCCACCCCGGAGGTGACCTCTCCTGACCTGCCCGCTGCTCCCCTCAGCAGTGTCCTTCATCAATCTGCCTGTTCTGCTTCCCACTGTCTCTGGTTAATCCTCTCACTGCCCCTGTACCTCTGGCTTGTACCCCAGTTCTTTATGAATAAATAAATCTTAAAAAGAAAAAAAAAAGATAGTATTTGTAGAGTAAGAGATGAAAACCAACAGTCAACCCATATGTCCATCAGTGGGGAACTATCCATCCACACAATCAACCATCATGCAACTGTACGAAAGGAAAATGGGGGACCTATCCTTAAGTCGCTGTAAAGTCTAGGATACATGGTTAAGAGAAAGAAGCAAAGAGCAAAACAGTATATAAAATTTGCCAACCATTTATCAGAGTGGGGTGTACACATACACTCACAAATAGGCATTCCTGTGCATACTTGTTTATATTAAAAAAAAAAAAAGTAGACAACCCAATAACTTAAAGTTCTCCATAAGAAAATATTCAAAAAGAATGAATTGAGTATTTTAAAGATTTTATTCATTTGTTCATACAGAACTGGGGTACAGGCCAGAGGCTCAGGGGCAGCGAGAGGCTTCACCAGAGACAGAGCGGGGAGCTGAACAGGACAGAGCGGGGAGCTGAACAGGACAGAGCGGGGAGCTGAACAGGACAGAGCGGGGAGCTGAACAGGCAGATCAACGAAGTATGAGGGGAGCAGTGGGCGGGTCAGGAGAGGTCTGCCACGCCATGTGGTCACCTCCGGGGCAGGCGGGAATCGAACTCATGCGGAAGTGGCTTTAGCTTCTCAGTGCAGTGCTTTAACCCGCTGCGCCACCAGGGAGGACGAATTGAGTATTTTAAAAAACAAAATGAAACAATGTGCCTCTATATATATCAAGTTAATAACTTAATGACAAAAAAATTCTTTCAAAGGTATGTGACTGTTACATATTTATTGGGATATATAAAGGGAAAAAATGCAAAGAATCAAACTTATAATTTAATTGTATTGTTTACAATACTGGCATTATCTTTAAACTATATGATATACTGATAAGTAAAGCAAATACATTAGAGATTATTAGGAATGAAGATGTTTAATATTATACATATATACATGTGCATATATGTATATGTCTATATCCACATACATACACATGTATATAGCAATAAATGTGGAAAATACATAGATAAATCAAAGAGGCTAAGTAAAAGGCTATTATCTTAAATTTGATTTTTAAGTATCAACATCAACTCAAGTGCTTTCTTTAAAAGAAAAAAAGAGGAATTGCCCACTGAAAAACTTGAACAAAGTGCCCACCTACTAGCACCTAGATAATGCTGTCTAAAAACTGAAAAGATTCTGTGTGAGACAGACACATAAGGTGACTACTCTACCAGAAATCAAGGAAGCCAATGATTGTTGAGCTGTGTCATAAAGTCTATGAGTTCATCTTAAGGAAAAAAAGAAAAAAAAACTCACTGTTGGAAAATGCTAGAGAACTAACTCAGTCAATAAACTGGTATATTAAGTATGCATTCTGGTATCCTGGTTGTGTAACAACCATACTTAGATCATCAAGAAGGTGGTATGGTAAATCTTTCTGATATAAAAGTGTTCTAGTCAGTGAAGAAAACAATCAGAATATCAGAATTTTTCATATCCTATTGAAATAATGAATCTAGGCATTAATCATCATTGACTTAAAATTTAGGACTAAACAGCTATCAACCTTGCATAAAGGATGCTTGTCTGTATCATATTTTTGGCTGAAAGCATTATAAAAAGTGGATTAATGTAAAATGAAAAAAATAAACACTGAAGAGAGTAAAGCACTTCCAAGATCGCTAGGACTGGAGGTGCTAAAGGAAAAACTAGAAAGAAACAACAGGCAAGTCTTGTATTAACCTGTACTTTCCTTCAAAGCATCAGCTCATTTGCAAGACAAAAGACAAGTAGTAAATGGCTTCACTCACCTATGGAATAGAGAAACAAAAGGTCAGATCCAAGCAGTAACAAACCCCAGAAATCTGACTGTGGAATTGAGATTTTCCAAAGAGTAAAGGGAAGAGCCAAGTGGGAAAGGGGAAACAATGGACTATGGTAGAGGACTGTGGGTGCCTTGATGGCGAGTGGGATGTGGTTAACAACAAGAGGGGTGTGACCCTGCACTTCTAAGTCAAACACAGTGCTAACAACCAATGTTACCTTAATAAAGTTTAAATAAAAAAAATTTAAAACCTAATTATATTTGTATGCTTATATATTTAGAAATCACAAGCACCCCTACCCTACACTTTTACAGCCACAAACATATGCCTTATGCTTTTGTTTTTAGTGAAGTCAAGACAAAACAGTCGCTTGAACATTTTAAATAGAAAGGTATTTTGTTAGAAATTAATGCAGTTGATAAAATGTATTTCAGAGCAGAGTCCTGTAGTAGTTAAAAATGAAGTTTAAAAGACTGATTCTGCAGCCAAATGATTCTGATAAATCTAAGCAACATTTTTCGTTACAGAATCACACTATCCATGAAAATATTAAAAGTTCTATCAAGTCTTAAAGGTAATTATTTTACTTTTACTCAACATTTGTGATTTTGTCTATCAAGGAATACATTCCCCTTCCCCATTTTATGATGGCTAATGAATAAATACCTGTTAATGTCTTGGAAAAAATATTTGTTCCCCAAAATACTGCAGAGTAAAAATTTACACTTTTATTAATACACTTACTCTTTTCATATCTAATACAAAAGATAGCTCTTGAAAGTAGCATTAATTTGAAATATCAAATTCTTACTGAAGAGAATATTTTGACTGAATTAAGCATCGTTTCAAATAGCACATACCTGTATTTTGCTTTCTCATGAACCCAGACATACTCAGGATTTTTCAAACTCAGCCGTGCAAGGTCCTTTACAGATTTGGTTTGTGTAGCTGAGAAAAGTAAAGTCTGGCGTTTCTTGGGAAGATTTTCAATAATAGCATTCATGGTATCAGCAAAGCCCATGTCTAAGATTCTATCTGCTTCATCAAGGACTAAAAAAGGGAAAAGAACTTTATCAAGTAGAACGACAAAATTTATGCTACATATTAGGCTAACTGTGAGGTGGTAGCCTGGAGAGGATGCTCAAAAATAAAAAGGTAAAATCTAGAATCTGGAATTTAGAGAATGCATCAATACTAATGTCTTGCTTTTGACAAAGTCTCCACAGTTATGTAAGATGTCACTCTAGAGAAACTGGGGAACCAGTATATAGCATCTATGAGCTATTGCTGCCAAGTTTTCTATACCTCTACAATTATTCCAAAATAAAAAGTTGACTTAAATACACAGTATGCAATGTCATCAGATATAGGTATATAAGTAAAGATAAAAGTCGTAGAATGAGTCAAATACTGAAGTGCTTGAGTTCACATGTGAATACATTAAGTATAAAAGTACATGACAATAAATTCTTCTATCTTGATTTTAAAGCAAAAAAGTCTAGCTGCAATCAGAATTTAGAACCCATATGCCAAAAGTTGCTTTGTCTTTAATCAAAGTATTTTTACAATACAATATTACAAGATTGTATTACATTACAATATATGAGGGCTCCCTAAGTCTGAGATTTCCTTCTTAGAAATTCATTCAGACTCACCTAACATTTGAAGATTGGTAGCATGAAAGCATATTGTTTCATCCATGTGTTGGAGAAGCCGGCCTGGTGTACAAACAAGTATGTTTATGTTATTGATCCTCTCAGCTTCATGTTTCAGATCCTGAAAACAGTTGTTTCCTTTGATTACACAGACACATCACTGAGCAGCCTGTGTACCCAGACAATAAAAGCCATCTGCATGTGGCATTCATCACAGTAAAGTAGCTCTCTAGACACAAACATCATGTCTCCCTTCTATTTCTGCAGCACATCCACATTTCTGGGCCAAATAAAACTTCTTAGTGAAAACCTGGACAACTCAAAATTCCTTAATCACACCCAGGATTGCAAAACCAAGGAAGCTATCATAGGAATGCTCCCAGTCTTCACGACTGCTCAGGCCTGCCAACACTGCCCAAACAGACATGAACTGTGGTGACTCCCCTTCCTGGAGCCAGGCCACAGGGGCAGTGAACAGGAGCTCCTACACCATCACTGTACCTCCTGAACTGAGAAACAAGCGCTCTACTTAATAGAGATTTTATTCTGGGAAAAGGAACCATAGAATATTCTTGTTAAAGCTGGGATGACTACTTGAGGATGTGAGGATTTGTGATATCTGTCTATGTTTACATATAAATTCAAGAACCCACGTATTTATCTAGCAATGTAAGAGACAAGGAGATATGGGCCCTCCAGAAACAGCATAAGAAACTAGACCTAAAATAAGAATCTCCCAAAACCTCCCATCTTCCATTCTTTTGTTGCTGACCCAGGAAAGCTCTGACACTATACTATACTGAAATGTCATCTCTCCCAACTTACCATGATGTATTCACAGATTGATTAGAATAGTCTCAGAACCTGAGCCATTCAAATATCTGACAAAATGGGCTTTCTGAACCTGTGAAGTTGACAGCTAGACTCTAAATGACAGTGAGCACGCCAGGGTAATACACCCCACGAGGCATTGTCTAGGGGGCTAACTTGTATGTCTACATGGGATCTCTACCCCTTCCTCATCAACTGCCCCAAGTTTCCAACAAAAGTAACAGAAGGAAGGACAAAAGGACAAACCTTTCCACCAATAATGAGACCAGCTGAAAAGTCATGATTCTTTCCTACTTTTCGGAGAACCTCAAAGGTCTGATAGGCCAGTTCTCTCGTGGGTGAGATTATTAGAACCCCCAGCCCATCTGTTGAGGTCCACTGCAAACGATATAAGGCTTCCAGCACCTTGGTGGAGAGAGCAAACACATGTTCAGTAATTCCTCAGAGAGAGTGACTTTTGATATCAAGTCTCCATGCACATCAGAGACAGCTTATTAAATAAGCCAGGAATAACAGCTAAGGGACAATTAGATACAATGCTCCATCTCAGTGTTAAGTGTGTTTATATCCCCAATCTGGTCCGAAATTTGATCTGTAATTAATGACATTCCAGTATGTGAGAAAAATGGCTTATGTTGGCCTTTACTGATTTCAAGATTTCCCAAAAGTCATTAGTGTCTCAGGAAGTCAAGAAAAAAACATGAAATGACTTTTTCCATAATTATCTAGACAGGGAATCAAAACAGAGGATCTGATTCAATATGAATAATCTACTCACAGGAACAAGGAAAGCCAAAGTCTTGCCAGATCCAGTTTTTGCAGCTCCAAGAACATCTTTGCCTTGCAAAGCCAACCCAATAGTCTGCTTCTGTATCTCAGTTACCAGGCGGTACTGGGCTTCTTGCAAACCTGGCAGTACGGAGTGAGGAGAGTTGACACTTTAGAATATCCCTAAAGAACAGTTTTATCGGCTAAACTGTGGTCCCTAAAATTCATATGCTGAAGTCCCAAGCTACAGTACCTCGGAATGTGATTGTTCAGAGAGAACTTGAAAGATGTGACAAGTTCAAAGGACTCCATGGTCATATAAGGCCCTAATCCAATCTGACTAATGTCCTTGTAAGATAGGAAATCTGGACAATTGGAACGACACCAGGGATGTCATGTACAAAGGGACAATGATGTGAAGACGGCAAGAAAGAAGCCAAAGAGACAACTGGAAAGATACTTCCATAATGGTCTCCAAAGAAACCTGTCCTGCCCAGCCCTTCATCTTTCAACCCCCAGCCTCCTTTCTGTAATCTAAACCACAGTCAGTTGTATCTTTTTATGGGAATCCTGGCAAACTAATACAAAATGTATCACATTTATGTTCTCTTGCTTATTTTAATAAAATTAAAATAAGCTTCGTTTTAAGTCTTCAGAAGTCCTGGCATCTTGCTGGCTTACGCAGTCTAGAAAGACTGAGGAAATGGCATCTTTATAAAATCCAAACAAATTAACATTGTTTCATGTTTGAATTAACATTGTTTCATGTTACAGTTTTCCATGAAAGCAAAATTTTTTGCCAAAATAAGATTTCAGGTTAAACTCCAGAAATCTGGGCCTCCCTGGTGGTGCAAGGGGTTTTAGTCTCAGCACCATGAAACTATAAGCAGCCACTGCAACACGAGTTTTAGTCCTTGCCAGGGAGCTGACCCACATGGCACGGCAGACCTCTTTTGCTCCCCTCAGCAGTGTATTTCAATAGATCCACCTATTCTGCTCCCTCCTCTGTCTCTGGTGAATCCTCTTGCCCCCAGCACCTCTGGCCTACACCACAATTTTTGTATAAATAAAAATAAATCTTTAAAATAAATAAACCCTAGAGAGTTTTCAACAAAATATTTATCTGCACCAGCAGAGCCAACAAAAAATCCCAAAAAGCATACTACATACCTACCTTTCAATGTTTTCTTGGATAAAGGGAAATCTGAAAATCTTGTAATTTCATTTACATTTATCTGGAGAGGGAAAAAAGAACCAAGTCAGATGAGTATGAACTACAAAATGAACTCATTTTTTGTAAACCATGAGCTGCCCAGCTTATCCTCAATCATCCCTTATGATTAAAAACCATCACTTCCTCTAAAAGGAAATATGCCTTGAAGCTATTATTCCTCAAAAATGTCTGTAAACATTTCAATTGATTTAAAGGAGAAAAAAAAAACCTGACTCATTCGAAAGATACACTATATCTCTCACCTCAACTGTTAATCCTCACATTCATTTAAGGAACAAAATTTACTTTCAGTACATCCTTCAAGGAATCAGTTTAATAAATAGGCAAAATTACTATAAACTACAGACCACAAAGAGAATGATTCAAATCTGCACATTTTGGAGAACAGATGAAAGTTATCTGGAGAACTGTCTCATTAGCACAAACCTTTCAAAGTTTTAGCCGTAAGTCAGAGGCATGGGAAACCTAAGGAAACAAACACTCACTTGGGGGGGTACCGAAAGGGAACAGTTACTTCCAATAACCAGAAGTCTCTCTGTGAAGCTCTGAAGCAGCAGGGCACATCAGACCTCTCCTGTCTCACCCATTGCTCCCCTATAACTTTACATCATCTCAATGTTCACTACCGATGTTCTACATTAGCATAAACCCAATTTTCCGAATTTCATTTCAGATGCTCTGGAGAATTATTTTATTACAGATGCTGAAAGCAGGAGCTACTGCTCAGCTCTCAGAATATGCTGCCAAATTATTCATGATTCACAAAAGGAAAAGTTGTATTTGTAAGGTTCATTTATTTAAATTACACTCCAGGCAATAAAGGGATGACAACTTGTATTTCGCTCTACAATCAATGCCTCACTTTTCCAAGATTCTTAACATAGCTCAGACAAGGTTACTCTGTGGTCTCAAATGCTGAAAAAACAAATATTAAAACGCTGTCTTAATCTCTACAAGCCACTTCAGATAACACTGGAGAGAAGGAATCAGTGTACTAGCATTAGAGGAAGTCCAGTTTATTCAAATAATGTCCCACCCCATAATGGAACCTCAGTTAGAAGGTAATCCCTCAAACGGGTCATTAAAATTAGGTGGGTCCACCCTGGTACCTGTGGTATCAGTTAAAAAGCCATTTTTCTACATATACACAATGGAATATTACTCAGCAACCAAAAAAAAAAAAACACCATGCCTTTTGCAGCAACATGGATAGAGCTAGAAAAGATCATGCTTAGTGAAAATAAGCCAGAAAGAAAAGAAAAAATACTGGACGGTTTCACTCATAGCAGGAATATAATGGACCAGGGGAGAAAATAATAATGAAGAGCTATATACCAGAGACATTTTATGGGGTGGAGTGGGGAATGGGATCAAAAAACAGTGCGGGGAGGAAAGTGCACTGTACTATGGTGATGGCACATGGGTGATTTCGTGATGGGAAGCCCACGGGGATTACAACTGAGATGGAGAAATGCACAAAATGATGTGAAAATAAAGTATTATATTATTCAAAAAACCACAGTGTTTAAAAAAAAAAATTTTTTTTCCCAGCGAGTGGAAAGCTTAGAGGATTCTCACTCTTCAGTCCCCCAACCCCAGAGAGCCAGGGAGGAGGACTAAACTACTCAAGGGAAATACTGTGCACTGTTCTCAAGTCTGTTAAACTCCTGGAGAGCAGAATGTGAGGCATTAAACTGCCCTGGCATTCATCAGGCATGACAAGGCAATGCTATACACAATACTCCTAGAAGTCAACAATGAGGAAAACAAATTTTTATTCTGCTAATACTGTAGAGCAGGGGTCAGCAAATAACAGCCCGAAGGCCCAATGCAAGGTGCTACTCCCTTTGTAAATAGGTTTACTTGAGCACAGCTACAGCCATCCTTTATACACTGTCTCTGCTGTGACAGAGCACTCATGGCCCACAAAGCAAATGTTGACTAACTGGCCCATTACAGAAAAAGTCTCCTTAGAAGACTCTCAGTTCCAGTCCAAGGAATATTTACAACCACAGCAGAAAAATGTGTGTGGTTCCTACAAATGAAGTAACATTCTCCTTCCCTCATTCCCTGTCTGTTCTCAGAACAATCCCACCTGCCTTCCAATATTCACATCCCCTCTAGCAGCCAAGATATTTCAGTGACGGTCTTTAAGAAATCCCAATACCGGTGGAAAAGGTGGGGGCTCAGAGAGAAGGGCAGAGTGGATATCCTTATCCCCTCCTATACATCCTACAGCACTCATTTCTCACTAACGTGAGTCATTTTTTTCCATCCTGAAAGCAGGGGGAAAGCAGAAAACTTGCTAGAAGGTTCAACCTAATGCAATCAAGGGAAGAAAAGCAATCTGCCTCAGAATACAACCAACTAGTTCTGATTAAGGGAGAAAACAAAATTGGGATTAGAATGCTGCTTCCAAGTAACACGACTGATTAAGAACACAAGTCTACATGAATCCCGGGTGGAGACTTTGAATCACTGGGCAACTGCAAAAACAGCTGCTGAACTACAATAAAAACTCAACATCTTCATCAGCTTCAATATCCCACTTTCTATCACACCCTCCTACAAGCATCCCCTAAAAAGAGGTAAGTTTGGGGGAATTGCACAGTCTGTGGGTTCTCACCCCCTTATTACTTACAAAGGGGTGACTGTGATAAGGAGAATTTCTAAGGCCACAAATGGTCAATGGTCCTATACAAGAGTGTCCAGTAGTCAAAACCAAAAGCTGCTAGCCCAAAACAAGTTTGCCCCTCCAATAAGAAATTGGAATGATTGGCACACTGGTAAGCAGAGATCAGGTCTCCACTAATTTGTGGTAGCCAGGGGTAGTCACCGGTAGTGCTGCAGCAATCCCAAGACCTGCTGATTAGTGCCAGCTACCAGACTGGACCCCTCTCAGAGGCAGTGCCATAGAACCATGGTACCAGTGCTTATAGCTCTTCAGATATGCCAACCATAGGTCAGCAGCACTCCCAATGAAAGAAATTGACGTGAATGTCGGAAAGGTCTGTGTCTAAATGAAACTGGAGACTCTGCCAGAGCAAAGCTTACAAGCAGTTCAAGTGGCAATGAGTGGCAGGCATTTTACTGCCCACCAATGACTGCTCCCACTGGGGCTCAGGCTGCTGTCCTATGGGTGGTGGACATCAGTGGTTCTCCTGTCAAGCCACACCAGGGCATACAGCTCCTGGGGCCCCATGGGGTTGTTCCCATGCTGTGGCTCCCTCAGTAGAAGGGTCCATGGATTTGGTGCCAGGATCATGTAATGGACTGATCAGGTGAGAGCTCTATGAGCTGATTCATAAACGATCTAATCAGCCATTAAGACTGAAACCAGTCCCATCAGACTAGTATGTAGAGGATCTGAAAGGTGATAGAGATGAAGAATCCAGCTTGGGATTT